CAACATTTTTGCATTTGTTCTTATGTTTATTCCTCTTGAGCTTTACACCTCATGTCACCAGGAAGTTCAAATAAAGGCGAAAAGGGCAAAGCAGTGCCCAGCCTCTCTTTCACCCCTTTCATAGGAAATAAAAGCATTTAGAGACATCCCTGCAACTCTTTCCCTGAGGTCTCATTGTTCTGGGAAGTCAAATGACATTTTTAGTTGGGCGTATTGCTGCCTTTTGTTTAACAAGGAAGGAGAGAATGAATATTGAGCAGCAAAACCAGTGTCTGCCCTGGCTGCTCCAAGCAAATGTGGATTGCCCTGTGAATGGGAATAACAGGAGGACTTCTTTATACCTTCTCATGTTAGAATAAAGCATTATTTTTCATTCAGGTAATTTCTAGTTTATTGGGAATTTTTTGTTTCTTTTTAGTCCTTGAAACAAACAAACAAAAACATTTGCCTTTAGATTTACTCCCACCTGAGTAAAATTTTTCATTGAAGACTTGGAATAAATCAGAAGACATTCATGCTGCCTGAGAGAGTGAGTGGCTCACAGTACTTGAAAATAGAAGGTCAGGGATTGATTTTAGATAAGCCTAAAAATAGAATAAAATAGTGATTATTCACAGCTAAGAATCTACCAAAATGATGGTTATAGGTATTGTTATGATTTATTCAAATACACACTGAATATATACCATGTGCCAATCACTGCTTTTGCAGGTGCTTGGGATGCAATGTAAACAAGTTAGATGAGGCAGACATCCTCACTCTACTTCAGGGAAACAGATGACATGCCCACAAATTAGCATAATCTCAGGGAAAGTGGTAAAAAAAAAGAAGGCAAAAAATGGTAAGGAGATGGGGGACAGTCTCTGAAGAAATAATTTTGAGATGGGAACATTTTTTTCTCTACAGTCCTAATTCTCTAAATGTCCAAATTACAAGTAAGATATTCTTGGCAAAAATGTGATTTTTTTTTTTTTTGGAAAAAAAAAAAAAAACATTACTTTGCTCATTGGTTCCCTTTATCTTAATGGCAGTAATGTGAACTGTTGTAGAATTTACCAATTCCTTTTCCCCAGTTTATGGTTCTTGATCTAACTCACCATTGAATCAACGCATTATACTTCATCATTCAGAATTAACGAGGAAATGGTTTGGCTCTCCTCATTTTTAGTTCATATTGTCTTTGAATCCTGCTTTGTTATGTCCCTTGCTGAGGTTTTTAATGTGATGGCTCCTGTTCCAGTGTGGAGGTCAGACCTCTCCTCCCAGCTTTAATAAGAGTAGAATTGTGGGACCCATTAGGGATCTGGAGATAAATATTGCAAATATCATGTTAATCCTCAATTTAATCAAGTTTATTAAAATAGTACTGAGCATAATATTAAGTAGCATTCACTGTGTGTGGAATATTGTCTACAGAATTGTATCTGGGCTGACTGATGGGAGTATTTGGTTGGTTGATTAGCTATGGGTTAAAATTTTAAACTTTTATGTTGGTATCGTGGCAGCATGTCATGAGATGCAGAAAAGTCTACCTGTTGAACCTGTACTTCTTTTTCCATAGATCCTTTCATTTACTGTAACATAGCATATTTTCTAATTTGGGACATCTATTCCTCTGGTTGATTTAAAATTTGTTTTTAAGCTGTTTCCAAAAACTGCCTCTGGATAAAAGCAACTCTTTATTTTTCTCTATCCCTCAAGGTGTTTCACAAAGTCATAAGAGCATAAGTGTCTCATATATACTTTCTTATTGTTCAATAAATGTAATGAATTATATTTAAGATTTAAATATTTTTCTGTTATCACCATACATTGGGAGCTAACTTTAGTTGAGACTTTCATGTAGCATAATCAGACTATAATGGGAATTTCTGGTTTATATTGAGCCTCTCTTCTAGCCTATGAGCACCACAAGGGAACAACTGGGGAATATTCCCCTATGCATTCAGTAAGCACTCACTGAACACTAATTATGTGTTAGACTAGATAATGATGACACACAGTGAAGTAGATTCTGGCTTGCAATTTACAATCTAATAAGAGAGATAGGCATTAAACAAATACTCATTTAATTTGTGGTTGAGGTAAATGCTGTATAAAATGAGGACCTAACCTCTTCTTTGAAGTTAGCTTGAGGAAGTGAAATATAAGCTGTGACTGTATAGGTAACTAGAGTTACCCAAGGTAACAATTGGACACTCATTCCACCATGTAGATGCCCTGAGTTGTGAAAGAACTTGCAGGCTCAAGGAACCAGTATGAATGAAGAATGTTGAATAAGGAGAAAAATCCAGTTAAATCCAGTTAGCTATCAATAAGAACCAGATCTAGGGACTTAGTTCTAACTGCAATGAGAAGTCATTTCAAGGTGCTAAGATTCGATTTGCAGTTTGAAAGTATCACTGCGTACAAGATCAGAAATAGATTGGGATGAGAGAGCTAGTGAAGATTTCCATGCAGATGATGATGAGACGGATTAGATCAATAGTGGTGATGAAGATACATTAGCAAGTTAAGGAGATATTTAAGAGAATAGAGTTTGAGTGACAGTTGAGATGCTGTGAACTGAAAAAGAGGAATGTCAGGGATCTAGGTTTCTGGTATGGATTGTGATGCAATTTATTGAACTCAGCAGCTAGAGGGGGAAAAAAAGGTTGGGGGCAAGCTTATGAATTCAGTTTGGACATGTCACATTTGAAATGACTTAAGAGATCCCAGGGGGGATGTCAGATGGAATTTAGAAAAAGATATTTGGACTATGGTGTGTGAACATCTATGGAATACAGTTAGGAAATGAAGCTTTGGAATGGATGACTTAAGAGCAAACTGTGAGGAAGTTTTCTGAGATTTTAAAGTTAAATAGAGGAGGAAAACCTGGCAAAGGAAATTACCAAAGAATGTTTATATGCAGAAGGGAAACTGTCAGAATATGTTTTCACCAAAGTCGGTAGACAGTAACAATTCACAAAGGAGATGGCTACCAGGACATCATGTATGGTACATACTCAGCAGCACAGAGGCTTGGTGTGTAGAGGTCATTAGTGATCGTGGAAATAAATCCATGTGTATGAGAAGTGAGGTGAAGAAATAGAGATTATTCCTTCAAGAATTTTGACTAAGGGGCAAGAGTGAATAGCAACTCTTAGAGAATTATGAGATCCTGTGTTTTGGGGGGTTTTGGTCATTTTTTAAAATAATGCATGAAACAGGAATATATTTAAGTGTTGGTCAATTAATCAAAATGACAGCCTAAAGATCCAGGAGAATGGGAAGGTGATGCGATCCAAACATTAATGGTGAGGTGTTTGCTTTAGAGAAGGGAAAATTCTCCCTACATTTTAATGGACAGGAAGAGAGAAATGAGGGCCCTGGGTAGGAGAGGACAAAGCCCCTGTCTGCTGCCTCCTGTTTTCTCAGTTTGCAGCAAGCAAACTGCCAATGGGAGGTGGTTAGTGGTAGATTTGGAGATTAGTGTATTTTAAACAACTAGTCAGTACTATGTGCAATTTTTTCCCAGGAGAACTGTACAAAACACAGGGTTCAGTTAATCCATCACAATTGACTCCCCCTAACATAGCCAGGTGTGATTAAAAAGTCAGAGGGGCAGAGGAATTTAAATTCCTTGCAATAGAGAGTCAAAGAATGGTTGATAGAATTTAAATTAGAAGAGAATAGAAGGGAAATTAGTGCCCTGGAAATTCCATCCATGTTAAAAACATCATCAGAGTTTGGGCATGTGAGTAGCAGTGTAGAAGGACATAACTTGTAATGAGATGGGGTATTGGTTCAGAGAGTTTAGAAATAGTGATATTTGGGGTGATGACAGGACTCAGATCATGTTATTTGTGTGTGTGACCTGAAGGATTCAGGGAAAGACCACTGGAGATGAGCAGGTTCATGATGGGGTGACATGGTGGATGGGACGCCTGTGAGGCTGATGAGCTCACCTGAGCTGATGTTTGAAGAGGCGGCATAGTAGGGACAAGGTAACATGGTGCCAGAGTCTTGCCTGAGTGGCTGGGGTGACCCAAACAGATGGATGAGAGGAGAAGCAGATGGTGGAGTCCTTATCACCAGCCTTGGAAGAACAGGAGTCTTAGAAGTGAGGTTCAGGAGAGGCTGATGGGAAAGATGGAAAAGAGCATACTTTTTGAAGAAAATTAAGGATTTTCTTGAAGAAGACTGTGGCTTCAGTGAGCCAAGAGCCGGATGAGAGTAGAGCTGGGAGATGGAGAAAACAACTCAACAAGGAAATAGTTTGTTGAGGAGGAAGGGAGGTATAGGGTTGTCAGGCCTAGAAGATAAGGGGTGGAACATTTCAAAAGTTGATATTGGTGTGTGTGTGTGTGTGTGTGTGTGTGTTTGGGGATGGGGGAAGAGTGAGGAAAATCATATCATTGAACAGGGCTTGGGGGTTTTTAATCCTATTAACCTTTAGGGGCAGATGGCCTCTTGAGATTGTCAGAATTCATCTCTGGCCTGGAGTGGTTGGAGAACAGTGCTATTGTGTAGGGTAGTGTAGAGAAGTGTGGCTTGGGGTGGAGGTGCAGTGTGATGTCAGTCCTTTCTCAGTTGAGCTTTGACTGCCACTTGGGTTAGGCCTTGGTCTTGAGTCAGCTGCTCATGGCCGGTTTGCCTGTGGGCTGTCATGTGTTCCCATCTCAGCTTGTGGCTATATTCCCTTTGCTATACTTAATATCTATATCTGTATAATTAATATCTGAAAGAATAGGTGAATGTCCTCATATCCATTTGTTTCAATTTATTCAATGCTGATTCATTTTCTCCTTTAATATTAATTGTGTTGTGAGTATTATTTATTATACCATGGTGTTTTCTGCTAAATCAATTTATAAAATATCAAGTACTCAATAAGTGGGTTTTTTTGGTGATAGTTTGTTTTTAATTTGTAAAGTATCAATTAACATCATGTACATATTTTAGTCTCTCCAGTTCTTTAATGAGGGTGTTTTTAAGGTATGTTCTTTTACTTCCTGAAGGAGCAAATGATGTGAAAATCCTTCCAGGTCAAGCTGTTTGTCCTACACCTGGGTGCCGAGGAATAGGCCATATCCGTGGTCCACGTTATTCAGGACATCACAGGTAAAATTTTTTCTTACTTAAATTATTTTAGGGATGAATGAGAACATTATGCAGATTAGCTACTTCATGTAGCATCATAAATGAATCTCCTGAATGCAGCTTCCCCCATCCTACTCCCTTCTCTGTAACTAAGGCCCGTCTTTCCTGTTATGTGCCTTCTTATGCCCTTCTAGAGTCTTCTTGGACTCTGAAGTATTTCCCAGATTTACATCACATCCCTGAATCTCTGCTCTGTGGTGGTTTTCCTAATAACTGCATATCTTCCGATACACTCACCTCCCTACATCCCACCCCTGTTCTGAATCATCTCCATACCCCTTCTGAGACTAGTTTTCTTCCAGAGAATTCTAGAGTCTCTTGTTTTTTCCCCTCGTTTCCACCTTACCTCTGTTGCTTTTTCTCTCTTATTCATTTGGAGAAGAGCTAATTCTGTGAAAGAATAGAAAGTAAGCGTGAAGTTTATGTCTATGTTTTAAATATTTTAATAGAACATGGAGCAGATGGTTCTTATAAGAGAAAATACAGGTAAATACGCAAGTCTTTACTACTTTTTCTGTCCTCATCAATTGGTGAAATGATGCATAGACACATTATTCATATTGACAATCCAGTAACAGAATGGCTTTTCATCAGCATACCCAAAATATCTGACAAGATAAATTTAGAGGAGGAAAAGTTTACTTTGGGCTCACAGTTTCAGAAGACTCAGTCGATGGTCAGCCAACTCAGTCGCTCTGGGCCTGAGGTGAGGCAGAACATCTTGATGGTAGTGTGGGGCCAAAGAGTGCTGCCCAGGCTCATAGCAACCAAAAAGCAGAGAGGAAGCAGCCAGTGACAGATTTCAATGCCATATCCCTAGTGACCTACCACCTCCAGCCATGCCCACATGCCTACAGTTACCAACCAGTAGTGCATTCAAATTATTAAGCCATGAAATGGATTAATCTACTTATGAGGTTATATCCCTAATCACTGCCTAAAAGCCCCATCTCTGAATCTTACTACATTGGGGAATCATGCTTTCAAAACATGCGCTTTTGTGGAGATATTTCTAGATCCAAACCATAACCCATAATGGATAAACTAAAACCCAAAAGAATTGACATAAAATTAGTCCTGTACCCAAATTTATAAAAACAAGCATCCCAGATAAGTTTAAAGACAAAAGTATAACATGTGAAGCAGAAAACTTTTGTTCAAATGAAAGAGATCTAAATGCAGTATGAGAAGTCCTTGCTTTATCAGGGGTTGCAATTCTGGAAAGCTATGATGTTAAAACTTTAGTCTCTCAGTCACACTTTCTATTTTTCAGATGCTCAGCAGCCACATGTGGCTAATGGCTACTGTATTGGGATGGCACAGATGTGGTGTTCTCTGAACTTTCCACCATTGCAGAGTTCTGTTAGGCATCCCTGAGAAAGTCTAGCACATTTCACCTTCTCTTTGTGGATTTCTGAATGACAGGTATTTCCAGGTGAAATAAATGGACATCCTAATGCCTCCTTCAACATGTGGGTCATTCTTCTCAAAGTTAGCCGGGACATAATTTTGCAGTTTTTCTGTTCCTTAGCACTCCCTGAGATTCCCTCTGGCAAAGCTGTCCTCCCTAGAAAGCCCCTTCAGGCTGCCCCGCAGCTCACTAAGGCCTCTTTTCCACTTCATCAGAGCTGACTTGCCTCCCTCACTATTCTGTGATTCACCTTTCCTGACTGAATTCTGCACTGTGAACAGATTTCTAGTGGGCATGTTCTAACCTGTTCCAGCCTCTTCTCTGAACTCTTGCTCCTCTGTAGACATAATTAGAGCCTGGTTGATGTTCTTATTTCTGTCATCTCATTATCAATAGTATTGAGACTATTTGACATGTTTTATCTAACAAGTAGTCTCTAAAAGTTGGGCTTAGAACTTATGAATAAACTAGAAGAACATAAAAATCAGGAAGAGTTTAAAGAAAAGCATCCTATGAGGTTCAGAGGGGAAAAAATGAAAAACCAAAGACATTGTGAGGAAGCCAGGAGGTGTGAGACACTACCCTAACTCAAGACCTCACAAATGCACAGAGCTGCTTGGGGAGATGCCTTAAGACTGGGTGATGGCTCTTGTTCAGCTGAGACCTCAGTATGACAGAGCAGGGATCATGTAAGTAAGAGCAGATTGTTCAAACCATAATGACTCCAGGGCTTCAGAAGTGAAAAACGAAAAGCAGTGAGTACCCTCAATTAGCTTCTCTTTAGATTAGAAAAGATAAATTCAAGAATTATATATTTTTCAGAATTACATATATAAGATTTATAAGGAGTTTAAATCATCAGATAAATAAATCCTAAGTTACCTATGAATGGAAATGCAAAATAGATTTTTATTCTATTTAAAACTATTTTGTATTCAAGGAATGGAGACAAATTTCCTGGTGGAGTTAGTGCAAACAACAAGGCAGTTATTGGAGAGCGGGGCACAGGTATTAGAGGTCAGCTGTAGTAAGCACTGAACATCTCTCCTCCTGCTTTAAGCATTTAATCAGCATCTTTAACCAACTTAATTTATGAACGTAACTATGTATATGACCTCTTTTAATTAACTAGATCAAATTGTTTTGATATCATGTATTATCTCCAGGGTTCATTTTCATGTTATTTCTATTAATGGAGTCCAGATATTACATGGCTCTAAAAGATTAAAAGTATTGTTCTTCAGCACTTGGTAGTGTCTGATGAAATATTCACACACACACACACACACACACACACACACACACACACACACACGTGACTGATAGAAAGCGTCTATCACCCAAGATTATCATTATGTTTTGTTCCTGGGGGTCTAAGAGATGGTAAGTAATAGGTGACGATTTTTTAATGTTGCTTCATCCTCCCAAATCCTAGATGTGGTGTGATAGTCATTTCTACCTTGAGTTTCCTGACAAATTTAAATGAATTGAACTTGCATATTCCAAAACAAACTTTTTTTTCCTCCTGTCACAGACATGGACCTTTACTATAGAGCCTTCCTTCTACAGATTGCCTTATGTAGTTTCATCTCTACTATATATTTTTATATCTTAGAAAAGAAAAATAAAAAAGAAAAAGCCACCCCCCCCCACCAGTATCACTGAAGTGTGTAGTTGGTTTCTGCTTCCAAAGCCTGGGGGTGGGTGAGCATGAAAGCAGGCCTTCACTTGAAGCCAAGTGGCTGTTTCAGTCTCTTTTCTGTAAAACACTCCCAGTCCATAAAGTGCTTGCAAGTAGTGAGTGTTGTTTTACCATTTCATGTCCGAATTCCTGGCTTCCACTCAGCCTGCTGTTTTGAAAGGAAGTAAACAGTCTCCTTAAAGTACGTTGTCGATGTCTTTTTTGTATGGCTAACAAGGGCAACAGTGACACCAAGATATCACTAAAGAAAATTGGGAATAGTGTATCAGTTTGATAAATCAGGTAGACCTGTGAGTACCTCTCAAATAAATTTCAGACACATTTAATTTAGTTTTCATTAAAATAAGGAAATAACCATAATATTCAAGTCTGTCTGGAGTTCATGCAGAATCTACATAAACCATTATTTGAGAGAACTTGCATTAGTTCTTATCTTTATGAAAATAGAACTTTCGGCACTCAGTTATCACATAAATTACATTTTATTTGAATGAATTTACTGGGAATAAAAGGAGTAGGTATATTTGTTTACATAGAAATATTCAAAGATGACAACAAGGTCCAGGATTAGACATGAAGTTGTTTTTTCTAAATAAGTAAAACACAGACCCTGGAAGATTTTATCTATCTCTGTGTCATAAAGTATACAAAAGTAATTTATTTGTCACAGTGTGAGAGCCACTGGCCCCAGTGCGCATATGTGGGGGCATGGCACATATTGGCAATGCATCTGTAAAGGAGCAAGTGCTGCCCAGAGATGGGGCGTCCAATGAAGCAAAGATGACTTTGGGTGCTCTTTATGCAAACCTAGCATAATTCAGCCTCTATTTGTAATTCTTGTGAATCATTTTGTTAGCTCAGATGGAAAAGGTGGAAATTATTTCAGATGTTTTCTTCTTTTTTTTATCTGTTCCTGTGTGTGAGACAGAAAGAGAAAGTGTGAAGTGTGTGTGTGTGTGTTTGTGTGTGTGTGTGTATTCATGTTCAAGGCTTTAGGCTGGCCTGAGTTGGACATCCAGACCTGCCTCTTACTGTGTGATGTGGGGCAGTGGCAGATTGCCCCCCTATTCTTAGTTTAAATTTCCTCATCTGTGAATGGGAGCTTTTTGCATTAGGAAATGTCAAGTTCTGTGAGATTACAACAGACCTAAATCTTTACTCACTAAATAATACAGTATCATGCTGCTCGAAATATGATTGCCTAAAATATAGAGAAACAAAATAATAAAAGGAAGTTTAACACATCCATTGCAAACAAGGGTTTATTAAATAGGCCAAAAAGACACACTGATGTACAGATTCTCAATAGCCTGCTAAAAGAAGACTGACTAAAAGATATAGATCAAGTAAAATCAAAATAAATCTGCTTAAAAGCAATTTGCAAAACTTGAGTGTTAGGCTATAAAGAACTCAATAAATTCTCAAAATGAAAACAGTTCTTACCCTTTCCCTGATCAAAATGCATCAAGAAAAAATGCTGAGAAAAAATCATATCACCTAGAATATATGGAAAAGTATTCATAACTGTAGCTTCAATAATCATAGGCTCAAAAGAGAACCTAACTTTGAATCTCAGAAAATCTAGATGTAGTGCAATGAGAACACTAAGGAGATAAATTTTGGGGGCATTACTCTGTGTAGGTTTAGAAAAAAAATTACATTCCATTCATTTAAGACAAAATGGAAATATAATATTAAACTCAAAAAGCTATAAGAATTTTTAAAATGATTACAAAAATACAAAGAATACCTAATTAAAAGATAAAATGAATGAATTGCAACACAGAGACATAAAAAAGGAAGTGAATTATTAAGACAATCCAGTAGTTGGTCCTTTGAGACAAAATG